AGATTTTATTTATTCAATTCTTTAACCCTTTGTTGCATACAAATAATCTAGGGAAGTTAAACGAAAATGTTTGTATTTTTACCACTTAAAATAACCTTAGTAATAATAAAAAAAAAATATTCAAATTTCGTTTTAAGTAATTGCTACAGTTTTTTCACTACAGTGGACAGCATGCATATACGTACATGCATACAAATCTCCTTCCCAACGATTTACGTTCATTGCATTTGAAATCCTTTCCTGCCTTGTTTGCAGTGATTATTACCATCTTCTAAATGGTAAATCTACATCTGACATGTGTACATACAGATCCCCCAAAATACCTCCATTTAATCGATTGTGATTGAATTCATTTTGCTACGATTTTGTAACCTGTACCTATTGGATTCAAATGTCAAATGTTCTAGAAATTCCTTGCCAAACATAAACATTTCCAGTGGTGTTTTGGCTTGATAAGCAGTCCATTTGGGTTTCAATTCACTCTTTTCGGTAGATCTTTATCTACCCACTCCCCAATTCTCTCAAACTGACATTTAAAATAAAATGTCTAAAATTACTAATTATGAATAGAAATGGCAGTATAAGAAAATTTAAGCACTATTATATAATGTTTACTATGAGAAATTTTACTAACTTGGAAATGAAAAAGAAATTGTACTAAACTTGAGCAGCCATTTTCCAAATAGCAATGCTTTACTTAGTGATGCTATACAGCCATCTATGATCGACAGTTGAAAGTTCTAATAATACAGAATGAATAAACATAGGAATGGAATCTATTAAGGCATTTACAGAAGAATAAACAAATTTAAACTTTTGTCTAATAGAGTGGACATGATGTAACAAAGGGTTAAAGTTATCTATACGTTATGTTTTGTTTCTTCCAGTACAGGTTACATCTTAATAAATCTGTAGTACTATTTAGTTGTTTAAAGTTAACCATTTATTAAGTTTACCGTTTGGTAAGCACCAACAATGCTTATTATCTAAAAAAACTATTAGTCTCGATACACGATTTTGCTGTATTTCACTTTTCATTCGAGAAAATATAATTTGTTATTCTTTCATGTTTAATCTGACTGTTACTACTCGTAATTAACAAACTAAACTATGTAAATGCAGTTCTTTAAATCATTAATCTGATTGGTTGAAATAAAAAGGCATAATTACGTTATATATTTTTTCACTTTTTAAACAGACAAATGGTATATAACGTTCCCAAGTTTGTCTAAATTCATATTCATCTAATATTGTATAAAATCTTTCGCTTCCACACTTCGGTCATTTCTATGGATAATTTATACTGATAAACGATATTAAACTTTAAAAGAGCACTTTTGGGCGAGATTAAAGTCAGAACACTTTCAGATTTTTGATTTTCTTAAATTGAATTGCCTAGCTAATTCACCGTGGTATTACTCAGCAAATTACAGTAGGCTTAAACCAGTAGATAATAAAATTCTTTGCGATATATTTTTACTATATATTATTTTTTTGGAGAGATATGCAATTTTTTCTAAAAATAGCTCCATCATTATAGTAAGTTATGAAAACAGCGACTCTTTTAGAATTAATTAATATATTATTATATAAAAAATATAATTAAATTCCTGACTACTACGAAAGCATATATTTATGTTTTGTTTTTAATTTGGCATAAAAGTTATATTTTACACACGTAAAATTTTAGAACTATTTTCTCTTCTCGTTTCTTTAAGAACATTGCAGAAGAATTGCACTTCTGAGCAACAAAATTTCGTATATTTTTCTTTTAGAAATGGGAACATATATATATATATATATATATATATATATGTATATAAATGTAAAATCTAATTTTAAATTTTGTGTAATTTAAAATTTTAATCTGATGTCTTCCTCTTCCATGCAAAAGATATTAATCACTTTCAGAATAACGGCAAATAGTTCTAAATTTAACTAAAACATAAGAAGTAAATTACATTCACACATTATTAAGCTTATAACCTCTGTTTACACGTTTGCAGCTCCAGTTTCACTTTGTATAATTTAGAAAATGTTAGATTCTTTAGAAATACAACCGTTTGCCTAGAGCCTAACAGTTACGAGAAAGATAAACCATAACAAATAAACCACGCAAATCTGCAATTTAAATTGATGTTCAGTAAACGGAAGCAGCACTAAAGAGAAAAAATGAAAGACAAGATCTTCAGAAGCAAAACTCAAAGGAAATGTATAAAAAGTACGAAAAGAAGAGTGAAAAGAGGTCCATAGAGGAAAAGCATGATAACGCAACAAGAACGAAAGTGATGTGATATTAAAAAGATATTAGAAGATAAACATGATCATTAAGTAATAGAGAAGTATTATTGAGGAAGAAATAAATATATGTATTGACAGAGATTAGTTTGAAATAATTTTATAGAAGCTCTTACAGTTTCCTCAATGTTCAAGAAGTAAAAAATTATTGTGTTCCGATTTCTAAGAAAATTTTTCATTTTTAAGAATTTTATAATCAACCTGAAGGAAACTCTTCGAGGAATTTATTGTATTCATTTCGCGAATTTGGTAGCCAATAAAATAGCAATGAAGAAAAATATCTGTCGAATGCATTCTCCGCTTGCGATCCACTGAATAAAATGCACAGCTAAGACTGAAATAATTGATTCTAATTCTCATTAATTAATTTAGAATTAAGTCTCAAGTAGTGTTATCAATTAAGTCTCAAGTAGTGTTATATTACGATGAAATAATGTCATATCATTTTTTTTCGTATCATTTGGCTTTTTCATTCAGAAGAATTCATTTAAAATGTATTTTATATTCAATACCTTTAAATTTTGTTCGACTAACTCTTAAACAAGGAAGCCTATCGTAAATGTTGAGCTTAAAATTATTTCGTGTACTAAACTGAAATCTGCATACCAAAATCAGACAACAATTTCTTTATAATTTTATGATTTTATACTTTAAAATATTTTTAATAATTTAAAAATTTTTTGAAATGGTTATAAGAAATTTTTCGAGATGTTAGACTAGAATCTAAAATGTTTAGACTATCCCTCTCTTCCATGTGAAATTTTAATTCACGACACGTGCAAATGGTGCAGTCGGGGTGTAATTGGAAAGCACATCCGGGTAGGAATTGGAGATCACGAGTTCGAATTCTGAGAAGATCTTTGCGCATTTTTCATGTTTACTGATTTGATAAACCTTATGTCTCTAAGAGTGGTGCGCGAACTAAAAAGTGGTGGACGATAATTCGTCATCGCTTGAATTTGGTGAATGGGCCACCACACTCCCATTCGCCTTTTAACCCTTTGCGGCACAGTGTGTCCGGTCTGGACACACCTAAAACGTTCCTTCTGTACGCACAGAAAAACTGAATGAAAAAGGATTTATAGGTTATTATAAGTTACTCTGAACCTTATTTATTTATAGTAGATGGAAGCTCAACTCAAAGCAGTCCATATATTTTAGCCATGTTTAGTTTGTTAAGACCCTCATTTTGCAAAGAAATCTTCCAGATTTTTTTAGGGTATAAAAGAAATTGTTTGAAAAGAAATTCTGTGTTATTTTTTGGCTCTATGCTAGTCTTCCTTATTCTACATTAGTTTTAAATTTTTGCCTTCAAATCTTGCCTAAAATTGAACGGTGAACCCCAGGTGTGCCTAGACTGGTCTCACTGATAAACTAGGGGAACTGAGAGACTGTGTATTCTTTGTTTCTCTGCATCTCATCGGTCAGTTCATTGACAACAATGGTCGTTTTAGCACTCTTTTCGAAGCTCTATTCAATCAGTAAGGCACACCCACATAATTAAAACAATAAGTGCTATCTTCAAAAATTTTACTTGTGTACTCCTCTTGGCCTAATTAAACTGCCTACCTTTTTTTTAATCAAAACTTTAACTTTTAAAGGTAGCGTGCCGGAAAGGGTTAAGTAGGAAAGTTTCCGGCTGTAGGGTATATTTTCGCTTCTTACTGAGTGGTGAAATTGTAATACACGTCCGATTGACAACTGGAAGATCCGGTGCTCGAATCCTAGTAAGGGCACTTCACAATTTTCACAATCCCTGCTTCGAAAAACCTTATGAATCTGCAACTAAAGAAAATGACTACTTTGTGAATGAATTAGAAGCGTGAATTCTTTACGTTAGGATTGAAATTAAGCATTTCGAAGAATAATATACTTTTAGCTTACAAAATAATGTTAGATTAGGCAAACGGAGTAGGGGTTCAGACACACGGATGCGGGTATCTTACAGTGCGAAATATTTTCTCATTTTGAAAGCTAATATTTTTTTATTCCTTATTTCTTTACATAAAAAGGTGTCATAGTTTTCCTTGCTCTGAAATATCTCTTTTCTTCAGCACTCGGGAATTATTAAGCAACAGCTAGCACTACTGTAGTATTAAAACGGATTATTCAATTTTATGGATTTCGAAATGATATCATTAAATTAATAAGACTAAATTTTTGCTTCCTCTACACAATGGAGACATTACAACAAGGATCTGTAGCGGTATTTCGTCATCGCCAGTATCATAAAATTATATTACATAAAAATCAGTGATATAATTCGCAATTTCTAGAATAAATTTCTCGAATTCTGTCTAAAATGAACAAAAAAAATTGCAACATTGACGCCAATTGAAGGCAATTTCCTGCAATTTAATTCACTATTCTCTTAATAGCTCATAAAATTTTCTTCTTTATTAATCCCTGAATGGTCACGAATTGCGTAAAGCTTTCACTTCAAAATTATAATCCATTGAATTAGAATGTAGTGATTACTAAGGGCTGGAGTGCAGTGCCTCGTAGAGGAAACTATTTATATTCTATTATGGAAACCACGCTTTGCATCGTACTTTCGCTTTCCCTCATCCAGAAACAAGCACGATTATCGGGTATTAGGGTGGAATTGGAGTTTCCTCCAAGTCGATCGGAAAGTCAATGTCGGAATATTGTATTTATATCCTCAAAGTATGAAATCCTCCGGCATCCTCGATCCGGGAAGGAAAAGATGGTAGGAGTAAGATTTGCATTTCCCTCACACACATATATAAGAGCTCTGTTTTCACTTTCAGGCATCACACAATTCAATCATCACTCCTTTGCTTCGGATATCAGCTTCTGAAGAAGGTAAATAGATATTGGATATATAAATTTATAAATTTCTATTGTTCCGAAGGTTAGTTTTCATTTTGTGGCGGTTAAAATTAGCTTTGGACTCATGCACGTTAAATCTTTTCGTGTTGAAAATTTCGTGTTGCAAATTATTGTTGAAGTTTAACCAGTAACGTCTAGACTTGTGATATTTGATAGGATATTACTTCAATTGTGGCTAATTAGCACAAATTTCTCTGAATGCCTTAGATAATTATTCATTTGGTATGTTGCCTTGTCATGGATTCATATGTTTCGGATTAGTCTTCCGAATAACTTCAGATTGCAAATTCAGCGGCGCTACAATTTAATGTGTTAAGAGTTTGCCATTTATAATACAAACAACTGAAAGTAAAATATTTCATCTATCCATTTAAGACAAATTTATAAATTTTGTAAGCATGTTTAGTGATATGCGAATTAGAAATCTTGACTTAGAACTGTTAAAAAATTCAGAAGGAAATAATTATTTGAAATATTCAGTTTAAATAATCATGTACTTTAAAAATATTATCCTGATATATTTTACTCGCATATTGACTGTAATGTGCATAAAAATGCGATAATATTTACGTTAAGTACTTCAAATTCAATACGATTTCTTAACTTCAAAAAATCAAAATAATTATATCAATACGAATATTTTTATGCTAAAATTTCAAAAAAAAATTCCCTAAGCGTTTCCCGATTTAAAATATTGACATAATCATATTAAAATATCTCTAAAATTAAACTCCAAATGTTATATTTATTAATCTACTTTCGTTTTATCTTAGTTGTAGCGAGTGTTAAGTTACTTGAAGTTGTTACAATTTTGAAATTTGAACTAAATTTTACGAAAGTATAATCGTGGAAACCTTTAATGATTAATAATTTAATATTCATAATTAGTTGTTTTATGCTAAAATACATAAAAGTTTCTGAAGATACTTAAAAAGAGAGATTTCATTAAATATTTTAAATACTTTTAATTGATTCTTTTTTTCAATGCTACTTCTCTGTAAAAGGAAATAACTAAGTTTCGAAAGAATGTAATTACCTATAACCTATATCATAAAATTTATATTCCCTTTTGAAACTTAATCATTAAAAAACTAGAAACTTCTGTGAAATTCTACGGTATCTTCAATCCATTTAAATGAACCCTGTTAAAAAATTAAAATATAGAACATATTCCAGAACTTTTCTTTGAAATACTTTCAGGCCTTCAAAGTTTTGGATTTACATTTTCAATGCTACGCACTACATTTATTGATTACATACTGATCCACATTCTAAAATATACTTTGAACTGATAAAATACTTTGTGAAAATATGAATTAAAAATAACTCGCAGATAATCAAATATATTAATTTTAACTCACAATATTTTAAAGTTTATCGTTTTGAAAACTTAAATTTTCACTTCTGTCGAATGGTATATAAAGTTACAATTTTTCTGGTAGAGAATAACCGATATTTAACGCTGTAATATAGTTGGAATGATTCCTTCTTTCTTTACTTAAAATTTTAAAATACGTAAAAGTACAATTATATGTGACGTTTCTGTGTTTTAAAACGATTTGCTTTATCTTTTGGTTTAGAATTTTTTCTCATAATTTGCAGGTGAGACTTTTACCTAATTTTTAGACATTTTTATGTGAAAATAATAATAGAATAAGTCCTATGCTAATAGTTCATTATTTCCGCCATTTATATCCTGAGAATATCAATTTCTTCCGTATAAAATTATACTGCGTGACAAATTAATTTCTTTCGTAATCTTTTGGTATTTGGATTTTTCCTTTTATTTGGAGGCTGCTCATGTCTCTCTCTTTCCAATAAGATCTTAAAAACGCCTTTGTTGTAAAAATTTCTAGATAATTCATATCAGAATCTATTCTCAAAATTAGATGAACTTCTACAGTCTATCATTTTATTTAAATGGGAAAAGCGTGAAATTTATTACTCGTTAAATGCATTACAGTAAAATTATTACAGTACTTGAAGTATTATAGTATTTTCTCCTTTATGGACGCATTTGTTCATTTATAAATATATAACTTATTTTGAAAATTATAATATGTATTTCATTCCAACATATTTAAATTATGGCTTTAAAAAACGGCGCTGTGTCTAAATCAGATTACAAATTTGCATCTAATTAGCTGTACCTCTATGTACATCAGATATTTCAACTGTAATTAGATTTTAATGAATACTGAATTTTTTTTTTTTTTTTTTTTTAAGGTCTAGAAATCAAATCAAATCCAGAGAATCTAATGTCAACCATTCTAATCCGCAAAAAAATTGAAAACAAGTTTTCTTTTTACTCTTGTTATTGTTGTGTCGTTGCCAATCTCACTTATCTGATAATGATCATCTCAAGCCCATGACATTCATTGTGGCAAGGAGTCAAATGGGTTTCTCCTTGGCAAGAGCTTTGAGCAATATATAGGTGACAGTATATCAATTCCGACTCCAATTTTGAGAGCGTGTATCCCGGAGGAACAAGTCCTATGTTCTCCTGCCTCTCTTTTCCTACCATCGATCTCTCGAGAGATTTTCAGCTCACCACATATTTAGAGTGACCCCATGCCGCAAAGATACTATACATTTACAAACATCCATGCCTTCTCCGGAATTTGAAAATGGACCCTTCCTGTACGGGTGTCAGAGTCACTCTTATTATATATTTAAGGCCATTGCCTTTCATAAAATCTATGGTTCAGCAATAATTTTTGCAATAAGTATTAAATGATATTTAAATAAAGCTGAGAAATCAAATCTAATTCAGAGAATTTAATATCAACCATTCTAATCAAAAAACGCAAATCAAAAGCAAATTTTGTTTCGCTCTTGTTATTTATCGTTTAATTAAATTCATTGCGTATCTACAATTTATTGAGTGGCTACTCAGCAAAACCAGACAATTATTTAATCAGTTTGAAAGAATTTTATTTTGAGAGTTTGAACAACGATTTGCATACTTACTCGATAGCAAATTAATAACGAAGCAAATTTTTATATTATTAACGAACACTCATTCATGTACCATAAAACCAATAAATTTCTTTTAGAAAAACTCATAAAAATCTTAGTTTTATATAATTTTAGTAATAATAAATGGTTAGAGATAGGAAATTAATATATAATTATAAGAAAGACACTTTAAAATTTTTGTATTCCTATTGATTTAACAGTTAAGGAAGGTAGGCTTTCAAGACTCCCGATTTGAATTCGAAATCTTAGCAAAGGAGAAATGTTTTCGAAATTTCTCCTGAAATTTGTGACTACATGTTAGTCTTCTGAATATATTTTAAGTGACAAGATAGAAAAATGACCATTTGCAGAAGCAAGACAATGTGTCTAAAGCAGATGGATGGTTATCTTCAGAAAATGCCTAATACGTTCTTAGTTCTTCTGTTAAAGTATTTTGAACATCTAATAAATGTGAAGTAACTTGTAGAGACATTAGGTTATTTTTAAAGCAGGAAAAATGAGAAATTCCCTCGCCAGGACTCGAACCACGGACCTCTCGAACACGCGTCGAGTGTGTTGACCACTAAACCACGAAGGCATGTTAAGAAGGCGGGAGAAATACCTTATTTACTCCCCCCCTTTTTGAAGGGCGACTGAGGATTAGGGGACCCAATCGCCAAATCCTGGTGGTGGAGGATCATCATCTACCGCCTTTTTTAGTTCGGGCGCCACTGTAGAAACATTAAGTTATTTTTAAAGCAGGAAAGATGAAAAATGAGCAATACCCTCTGGACTCGAGGCACGGACCTCTCAATTAGGCGTCGAGCGTGCTGACCACTACTCCAAGAAGGCATGCTAAGAAGGCGGGAGAAATTCTTTGTAGAGACATTAGGATTTTTTGGAAGCCAGAGAGATGAAAAATTAACAACCGCCTTCGCCGGGAATCGAATCACGGACCTCTGGAATACCGGCCCAGCGTGCTACCGCTACACCACGAAGGCACGCTAGGGAAGTGGGAGAAATACCTTATATACTCCCCTTTTTAAAGGGCGACTTGGGTTTTAGGGGAACTAGTCGCCAAATCCTGGGGGCGGAAAATCATCATCCACAACCCTTTTATTTCGGGCGCCACTTGTAGTGTCATAAGGAGTTTTTGGAAGCCAGAGAGATGAAAAATTAACAACCGCCTTCGCCGGGAATCGAACCACGGACCTCTAGAATACCGGCCCAATGTGCTACCATTACACCACGAAGGTACGCTAGGGAAGTGGGAGAAATATCTTATAACCTTATAAACGAACTGCTGATATTTTACCTTTTAACGGTCCAACATCACGCAATTGTGGAAATGATGCGTACATTGGAGCTTAACAATTTAATATGATTTTTTTGCCACATTTTGGTGAAGCCATAAAATGCGAAGACGACAAGCTGCGCGTGAAACCTTTTACTATGTTCCGCGGATGGATTAACAAAATTTATGATTATTGGCAAAATTTCCTAATCTGCGTATAGTTTTATACTTCTAATCATGTTAGGATTACCTTCTTTCAAAGATTAATTAAGATTAATTCCACAAAATTAAGCAAGTGTATTTGAACTTGAAGTAAATAACAAGAAAGCTTGAAATAACAAGAGTTTATTATTTCAGAATAGTTGCTAAATATAGCATGCCATACCACTCGCAGCTTCCATATATCAAATTCAATTAGTCTTGATGGTAGCGAGCACAAATCGGCTGTTATGGCATAATATACGAGTACTAAGAATCGAAGTACCTATAAGTGGACTAAAATATCGAATTTTTTTATACTTTTATTTTGAATACAATATGAGTTAATTACAAATATTTTAAGTAATCTTCATGTACAAGTTCGCTCTGTAATTACAGTTATGAGTAAAAAAGCTTCTAAACATTTGCTGTTAAAAGAGCCAGATGGTTTGCTTAGAATTGCATTTTATTGAACGATGCTTGAAGGTTTTATTTGAATTTTCGCCTTCTGAAAATGTTGTGC